CCACCTCCCAGCAGGGTCTCCCCGCGGTGAAGCCCCGGCGGCCCAGCACGCAGCAGGAGGCATCGAATCGCTGAGGGGCGGCGGGCAGATCCCGACCCGCGTCCGTCCATCTTACCCCCCGCCGGTCCCGGGACAGGACGAGCCGTGAGTTGGCCGTGTCGGGGTCCAGAGTCACGAATGCTGACAGGGATGGAGAAGAAACGGGTGCTGGAGGAGGACATCACCTCCCAGAAAAGCCCTGCTTCAACTTGGGCAACCCCAGCATCGCCCATCTGGGCATAGGAGCAGAAACATCTCCATGTCTTCTTCCTTGGGAAAGCCTTGCCTCGGGCTGGAGGACCGGGCAGAGCTCTTCTGTATCTTCCAGAACCCCAAAGCGAGCTCAACTCCTCATTTCCCGGCCATTTTCAGCACTAATTTGGCTAAAAATGACCTCGCGGGAGCCCTCCCTCGCAGCCGCTCCTCAGAACCACCTCACCTTTTCCATCTCCTCCTGGAGATGGTCCTTGCTCTTTCTCCAGTTCAGACGGCAAAATGTCTAGGGGGTGGAAAACAAAGGTTGGACGTCACGCTTTCTGGCTGGTAATTCTGCTTTCTCTTCCCCCCACCGTGTTTTTCCTGGGAAAACAGGAAAAAAAGCAGGAGGCAGAGCTGCCCCGTCCCACAACGGTGGGAAACCTCCCCATCAACCTGGTCACGCTCCACAACACCTTGAAATCTCCCCAGCGTCTCTCGGAGGACGTAGATTTGTTGAGAAATGACGTGGAGATTCTGGTCCAGGTCCGAGAAGGTCGCTGTTGTCCTCCAGGCACCGCCCATCTCCCACCTGGATGCAAACCTTTCCCCTTAGGTATGGGACTCATCGTGATGGCATGAGATGCTGGGACCATCCCTCCTCCCTCCCAACCCAGGCAATCTGGGGATGGGGATGAGCTGGCTGTCCCCAAAATGTCCCTCTGTCCCAGGTCTGGAGATGCCAAACGGCTCTGTAGCCAGGAGGACACTTGGGTCCCTGTTGCCCTGATGGCCAAGAGGACCTCCAGGTTTGGAGATGCCAAACAGCTCTGTACAGGAGGACACTTGGGTCCCTGTTGCCCTGATGGTCAAGAGGACCTCCAGGTTTGGAGATGCCAAACGGCTCTGTACAGGAGGACACTTGGGTCCCTGATGGTCAAGAGGACCTCCAGTCTTGGGGTGCTTCCTCTCGTGGCATCCCTGTGCCCTAGGGACTCAGGGGCACCTTCTTGTCTCCACACCTCTCCAGGCCTCACTTCAAGCCCTGCCTGAGCTGCCAAAAGGTCCACCTCTGTTCCAGAAACCATGCGGATGGTGCCTGTGAGCCTTCCCCCACCACTGAGATGTGGGTGGTGGAAGAGCACGTACCTGTCCACAGTGCCTCGGGCATCCTGGAACAGAAAGAGAGAGAAAAAAGCCTCAGCCTCCCACCCCAAAACTGCGGGAAGACTCCGGCCAAGGTGACGCTGGACCCTCTTCTGTCTTGCCCAGTAGAGCATCTGACCTGCAGGAAGCTGCTCGCAGGTTGCTCAAGCTTCTTCTCCATCTCGCAGATGAGGACATCGAGGAGCGAAATTTCCCCCGACATCTTGGTCTCCTCTTCCTCCTGCCTCCTCATCATCTCTCTGTCCAGCTCTCCCAGTCGAGCCAGGAGGACGAGCTCTTGGTCCTTCAGAAACCGGCGCAACTGTCGAAACTCGGACACGATCTTCTGCCTCTCGACCTCCGTCTGTGTCTGCAGGACACGGAAAGACCACGTCATGGACCACACTGGTCCAGAACCTCTGTTTTTCCTGGGTGATGGCAACAGCTACTTACCAAATAGTCCTGGCATCGCCTCTCTCCGCTTCTTTTCAGTTCCAAAATCTCTTCCTTTTGCTTCCTGAGCTTCTCCAGGTCACTTTGTATCTGCTCCTGAAGGAAAGAAAACGGGTTGGGAGGGTACCTAAAAATCACAGCACCGGCGCAAGGATGGAGAAGACACCGGAGGACAACGGAGGAGTAAGGTCCATTCTCACGTGATATAAATCGGAAAATACCTGTTGACTGATTTGGGGCAAAGGGTTTAGTCTGAAAATCAGCATTTTCATATTTTTAGCCAAAAAGAGCGGTGTTCTGGCTTTATTTTTTCTAGCTCTCCCCAGTTTTTTCCATTTATTTATTTTGATGGGTGAAAAAACCAACAACTATGGAGAACGTCAAAGCTGGCTTGAAGCCTGTGGTCCTGAGAAGCTCACAGAAACCACAGCGTGCCTTAAGGTGGTCAGAAAAATTTCAGAAGAGGAAGAACCCGAGCTCAGCCGTGCACCTGACCTTGTCCTCTTGGGCAGATTCCTCCACGCAGGCTGTAGCGGGACCTCCGCCAGCCCTTGGTCCATCATGGCTGGAGCTGGATGCTTTTGTATCACCCTTGAAGGCGACCGTCCTCTTGCGCCACGAGCAGAGATGCTCCTTCTCCTCCCTGTCTCCTTCCAGACCCAAGAGCTTCAGCTTCTCCACTAAATGCTCCAAATGCTGCTTTGGCTGGAAATTTCCTTTCCCAAGCCGGCTTCGGTGGCCGACTGCTTCGGCATCTCCAAGCCTTCCTCGGTCTGGCCAGGATCGGGCCGTGCCACCTCTGCAGCTGAGATCCAGCCGATGCTGGAGGATGGCGTGGTGGGTGCTTTCTTCTCCCCCTTCCCTTGTGCTAGAGAAGCCAGAGGCCATGGCAGCAGCTTCTGCACCTTCTCTTGTGTCTTCTCCTTGCTGCCTGCAGCGGAATGAACACATAAAAGATCTCAGCATGGGTGGAGGAAGGAGAACCAGTGGTGAGAAGCTCCAATCTCTTTTAGATGTTAATTTTAGGGAGGGATGAATTGCCCTCTAGCAAGGCTTGGACTTTAACGCCCATCTCTTGGACATCGAGGTTTGTCTGGCCTCGTGCAAGTCTGCACCACAGGCGCTGACATCCCCGGTTGGCGTCTCCACTCCTGGGACGGCCAAAGGAGGAGCCAACCTGGTGGGAACCGGCGTTTTGTCCCCAAAGCTCAGGCTCTGACCCGCTCCCTTGCTGCTACGCGACCTGGTGTCCCCCCACGTCCGCTCCCCACCCTTCAAAGCAAGGACCGAAGCCTTGGGGTGCACTTGCCAACGGAGAAACCCTCCGAGGTGCTCAGACGCCATGCTGGAAAGCCGTTTCCGTGTCTTCTTCCCACTTTCCCTTTATCCGGAACCAATTTTAACTGATGGACGCGGCAGCTGCAGAACCTGGAAGCGTTCCCCGAAGCAGGCTCAGCGACGTGACCCCCCGGCCAACCTCGGCAGCTCGCACCGCACGGACAGCCCCCAGCCACCCCAAAATTTAACAGCCCGTCGTCGTCACTTGGAGAAACATCTCGGCAGGGCCAGGGTGGGATGTCCCTGACCCTCCCAAAGGAGACGCTTACCTCTTCACCAGCAGCACAAGGTCTTCCTAGATGATTTATTTTAATGAGCGTGGGGCGATTTAGTCCACGTGGCTCCTCTCCAGCTGCTCCGGGACTGTTGGAGCTCGGAGTCGGATCACATGGAGGACACGGGGAAAATATCAGCCCTATTTAAGGAAACGCGGAGAGGAACGCGCTGCCCGGCGTCTCCCCGCCCGGGACAGGCTCGTTTACAGCTCAGCGTCCCCAAACTTGGATTTTTCAACCCAGCGCTCGGATTGGAAACGGCTTCATCGCTTTCAGCCGCGGGGTAAAATATCTCCGGCCACCGGGCGCGACGGGGCGCCTGCCACCGCGCCACGCGGGGACCGTCCAAGC